AGAGACCCAAATTGAGCCAGAACAACAATTAAGAACAAAATACTATAATAAGCATTTAAACATGTCATATTTTTCCATGTATAAGATGCCTCAATGTATAAGACGCACCTCACTATTCTAACCCGAAATTTTAAAAAATCTAACTGGGGTTTAGCAAGTGGAGGGGGAAAGGGATCAAAGCAATCCCTCAGCTTTGATCCCTTTGCCCCTCGTGCAGCCTTTCCCCTTTCCTTTTGCTAAGCCCTATGGTGGAGGGGAAAACAGGAATCAAAGCGATCCTGCAGCCCTTTCATCCCTGCTTTTCCCCTCCACTTGCTAAGCCAAGTGAGAAACAGCGATCAAAGCGTGTCAGGATCGCTTTGATCCCTTTCCCCCTCCACTTATTTATTATTTATTAATTGGATTTTTACCCCACCCCTCTAGACCATGTCTACTCGGGGCAGCTTACATAGATAAAACAGAATATAAAATATAAAATTTATAAAATTATAAAATTACAATTACAATTGAACAATTAATTTGAAAAAGATTACCAGGACGGCATGGCATAAAAGGGGAAAAAATAAGAAAGACTTAATTGGCCGGAGGGAAGGCCTGCTTGAGTACCCAAGTTTTTAGCTGGCTTTTAAAAACACCCAGCGAGGGTGCCAGCCGAATTTCTGTTGGTAGGGTGTTCCACAGCCTTTTTGTTCTCTCTTCGGCTTACTTCCGTGTATAAGATGACCCTCAATTTTTTGGTCTAAGGATTTTAGACAAAAGTATCATACACAGAAAAATACGCTACACATTTTTAGGAGAAAGCCCTTGGTTAGAATAATAGAATCTTTTTACAAAATCTTACAATGGAAAAGAGGAATTTAGCCACAGGCTCGGTGATTGCTTGGTTTATATCTGCCGACAAATAACTTCATATACCCTGTGAATGGCCTTCCAGGGTATTTCCTCAAAATAGGACAGAGAAGTCTCTTACACTCCTCTCTGTGGAGGCTATATTCAAACCAGACATGGGCCAAAGCCTCAGCTACTTCCTCTCCAAGACACACAGCCAATCTTCTTGAGGAATGCGGCAGGCACACCCTTCCAATACCGCAGAAAAGAGACAGTGAAATCTAGCCCTGGGGAAAGCATGACGATATTTGGGAACAGTGAGTTTTTCCCGATTAAAGGTAAAGGTAAAGGTTCCCCTTGACAATTTTTGTCCAGTCGTGTTCGACTCTAGGGGGCGGTGCTCATCCCCGTTTCCAAGCCATAGAGCCAGCATTTTGTCCAAATCTTCTGTGGTCACATGGCCAGTGCGACTTAGACACGGAACGCTGTTACCTTCCCACCGAGGTGGTCCCTATTAATCTACTCGCATTTGCATGCTTTCGAACCGCTAGGTTGGCGGGAGCTGGGACAAGCGACGGGAGCTCCCTCCGTTGCGTGGATTCAATCTTACGACTGCTGGTCTTCTGACCCTGCAGCACAGGCTTCTGCGGTTTAGCCCGCAGCACCACCATGTCCCTTTTTCCCCGATTACATTAATGAAATTAAACCCACCACAATTTAGCCATTTCCAGCTTTGCAAATGACAAGCCCCCTGGACTCATAGGTACAGACACTCCAACTTATCCTACATGTTGTAAGTCACTGAGCTGACATCAAAGACTGATCCGTGCGGAAGGGACTTGCGATAAAAAGAGAGTCCTGCCTTTCCCAAGTCACCCCTATGGAGCATTGGGATATCTGAAGGGTAACAAAGGATCTGTACTTTTCTCAGAGCACCCCAACGACCTTGGGAGGAGGAGCACAACAGTGGCTAAGCAAAGGTGCAGGAAACTGCTGTTGGGGCCACCCTGAAAAACGGAGAAGAGCAAACCTACTGTGTCCGAATAGGTGGGAGGAGCCTCTCTATAGCGGATGGGAAGGGTCAGGCTGGAGGCAGTAGATCCCGAAGGGCTGATGGTTTTTGTCTTGTCTTGGCGAGGGCTGCAAAGGGAAAAGAAAAGAGGAGACCAGATCAGAGGCAAAGGTCCATGGAGGGCTGCCTCCCCCTCCTCCTCCTCCAGAGCAATCAAATATTCTAGAAGACACAGGACATGAAACACAGCAATTAGCATTTGCTGACACTGTACTTCCGCCAGGAAGTTTCCATTCTGGATGGATTTCTTTTCCGCAATCATATTTCATACCCCCAACGCAAGTGTTCCCAAGAGTGATGTATATTAAAAACCCAAACAGACACCTAGAGTGGTCGAAATGACTAGATAGGCGGGGTATTAATTAACTAACTAACTAACTAACTAACTAACTAACTAACTAATTAATTAATTAATTAAACAAACAAACAAACAAACAAACAAACAAACAAACATGAAAGCTCAAAGCACCATCACACCATAAGCATATTTCAGTCTTGAGAGACTATAGTAATGTGCTCTGTATGGAGGACTTGGAACAGCATCTAGTGTTTTGATGCTTTATGCGAAGCTGGAGTGTCCTCTCCAGGGCACGAAGCCTGGATAAAATAATATGGAGGATAGGCTGTTACCCAAGCAGCAAATCCCCCCTCTCCACATCACTGAAATAGTCCAATGGAAAGGCAAGAGCCAATACAACTGATTCCAGCAACGTTACCAGAATGGCACGAACTGCCTCCACAGTAAATCTCTGAAACAGACATACATTGGAGAGTTGGAGAGAGGGCAGAAAAGGACAATCAAGATTACCTTAAGAGGACCTGAAACAATTCCTGCCGCAATTAACGGTTAGAACATTTGGGGCTTTTTGGCATAAGAGATAAGCAAGATGGAAGCATGTCCAATTACTGGCGCATTGTGGAAAAATAGGACAGGAAGATGGTTTTCCCTCTCTCCCATAACATGAGGGCTCAGATTATCCACTGAAGCTGAAAAGACCGTAAATCAGGGAAACAAAAGAATTTGCAGCTGTCACCTCAGTAGAGAGGGGACTGCCAACTCAGAAGGCTTTAAAAGGAGATAGGGAAAATTCACAGAGAAGGCAGTTGTCATGGTTACCAGTCATGGTGGATATATATTGCCTCCAGCACCAAAGGCACTCTACCCCGCTGTGTATCAATTTCTGAGAAGCACAAGTGTAAGGTACTGTTGTCCTCCCATTGCCTTATTTATGGGCTTCCCATGGGCAACTGGTTGGCCCGTATATAAACGGAATTCCTGCCTACGCCAGTCTTTAACATGGCTCTGTGCAACAGAATTAGAGCAGTATAATCACACTTTAACTGCCAGGGCTCATCCTATGGATTTCTGGGCTTGGTAGTTCAATTGGACATTTAAAATTCCCTGCTGTGTGTGTAGAGGAGGGGTGAGCCCAGTAGAGATTTCTAGCAAAGCATTCTTAAAAATTCACAAAACTACAAATCTCAGGATTCAACAGCAGAGCGCCATGGCAGCTAAAGGCATATCAAACTGCTATAACTATGTGATACAGATAGATTTTAAGTCTGATTCAACACAGCTCTTATGTTTTGCAGGAAACAAATACAGTGGTACCCCAGATAGCAACGATAATCCGTTCCGGATATATCGTCGCTATCCGGTAACATCGTTATATGGAAATAAAAACCCCATAGGAACACATTAACTCCGTTTAATGTGTTCCTATGGGGGATAAACTCACAGCTAAGCGGGAATCCTCCATAGGGCTGCCATTTTCGCTGCCTCGGTAAGCGAGGAATCAGCGTAAAAATGCTGCGGGCGGCCATTTTGTTGATCTGGCAGCCATTTTGGAACCGCCGATCAGCTGTTTCTGAAACAGCAATGCGAAGATCGGTAAGCGAAATGCTTACCGATCATCGCAATGCGATTTTCGGCAACCTAAAACATCGCAATGCGATCGCTTTTGCGATCGCAAAATCCGCATCGCTATGTGGATTCGTCGTTAAACGGGGCACCACTGTATTTAAAACCAGAAGGGAATCCACACAGAGCAAAAGAGAAGTACTCCCCCATCTAACTAGCAAGACGGATAGTCACTAATCATCCAATCCACTTCCACAGATTTGCTGCAACCCCTTTTAAACCCATCTGTGTTACCTGCCATCTTAAAATTCTGTGGCAGGGAAATCTGTACAGCAAAGTGGAAGGAAGGACGAAAAGGAAGGAGCTGATGATGGAAGGAAGAAAAGGACGGAAGGACGGACAGACCGAAGACTGAAGCCAACAGACTTAATTGCCAAGAGCACAACTGTTCTCCAGAGTGAGTCTGCACTCAACATCCTAGAGCAGCAACCTAGCCAGCTCACCCAACAGTGAGGGACTGTGGAAACTATGGGCCAGAAACATCTAGAAGGCCACATGTTGCCAACCCCTGCTGTAAAGGTTTGAGTGCATTCCCTTTATGGGATGGCAGGAGCCAGCCTTTCTGACCTGGACTTGGCAGCTGAGGGAGAGGAGGCAGGACGATAGCCCTCGAGGCTCATGTTCTCGGTGGACTCCGTGTCACTCTTGGCATCCCGGTGTTCTCCCTGCTCGAGGGCCAAGCTGGAAGAAAACTGTCTCGTCAGAGGAACAATAGCAAGTGGGACATGGATCAGCAGCAGAGTACTAGGGCCAGTCCTACCGTTAGACAAAATGAAACCATCATCTCAGGCGGCAGATTCTAGGAGGCAGAACACTGCTTAAGGAACTTTGTGAGCTTCTGATGTGGTGAAGGACACCATTCCATTGTCCGTGTTCACAGAGGCCCAGAATGGGACAGGCCACCATTTTGTACTTCACCACCCGCAGCAAAATGCAGAGCTTGGGAAACTCACCGGTTGCTAAAGCAACTAGAATTACCTCACAATCAGGGCCACTGTCTACATGGGCAGACAGCTTCTGGGAGTTGTAGAGTAAAGAATCAACCTCTGCACACACTGGCAAAATACCTTAAGCCTGCATGCGAGACATCACAGGTTTAGCTCCTGATAATATGAGCTGAACAGTCAGCTAGCGGGTGTGGCGAAAGACTCTCGGGGAGACCTGTTCTTAGTCAGAATACACCATGGCCTCCCAATGATGGAGCTCTCTCACAAGGAAGCTAACCCAGCCCTTGCTTTATTCGTGCAACCCCATTAAAGTTCTAGGAGGGATCAATATTCCCAACCTGGTTCTCAGTTCTAACATTCTGAGACAAAGTGGGACGCCTCTGTGGTACAACGACGAGGGTGCTGAAGTAGTATTTGGAAAATGTAGCTGAAGCCGAGGTTCCAATGCTTTGGCCATCTCATGAGGAGAGAAGACTCCCTGGAAAAGCCCCTGATGTTGGGAAAGGGTGAAGGCAAATGGAGAAGGGGGTAACAGAGGACGAGATGGATGGACAGTGTCATCAAAAAGCTACCAACATGAATTTGACCCAACTCCAGGAGGCAGTGGAAGACAGGAGGGCCTGGCGTGCTCTGGTCCATGGGGTCACAAAGAGTCAGACATGACTAAATGACTAAACGACGACAACAAAGGCTGAAATCCTCAGTTGGCCATGAAATTCACCAGTGACTTGGGCCTGTCATATTCCCTCAGCCACCTCACAGGACTGCGGGGAGGCTAAGGATCAGAAGAGAACTATGTACATTGCCTTGAGCTAACTAGAGGAAAAGCAGGATAATAATGAAAATGAAAATAAATTCACTCAGGTGATCCCCTATAATTCCTTACTCACAGAACCATGTTCTTCTGCTAGCATAATCTGTTTCCCAAGAGTTTGTGCGACAAAAAAGCAAAATGCCGCCTTTTCCTAACGGTGGCTGCTCCCCCCCTTCAAGAATCACGGAGATGACCAACGACAGAATGCACATTAGCTGCGTTTAGTCTCTTTCCTTCAGGAGAAAGAGAGAGAGAGACTCCACAGAGAAAGCAGTAGGTGGATAGCGAAGGTTTACCTTGGTTCCTTGCGTTGCTGGTGAGGGCTCTTTTGCCCTGCTTTGGGGCTGTCCTTGGGGTCACCCAGCTGGGCCTTCTGAAGAATAGTTTGCCCTGCTGTCTCTCTTTTATTAGCTGAAAAGAAAGAAAAACCCAGAAGTTACCAGTGCTTTTAGTACTATGTATTTTTAGCCACATTTTTTTATTTATCTTTATGGTTTTGGCCAGACTTGTACTGCTGATTTACACTTGTGTGAGGGAAATCAATTAAATCTTGCAGACAAATTGCCACCCATTAACAAGTTGATGGTTGCGTTCCTGATCATGCATCTCACCACATGCAAGCTCAGTAATGCAAGCAGCACCTTGTTAATCGGCAGCTATTTGTCACCAAGACTCAGTGCAATTTTTCTTACAGAAGTGCAAACCAGCAACAGAATTCCGGCCTTTGTGTGCTGTTTCTTTGCAGGATTTTTGTTTCTAATTTTCATTTTGTTGTTGTCCAGCCATCATAAAGGTAAGAAATTGGTGGATACATCATTCTATAGTTCTCTGAAGCAAAGCATTTAAGGCTAGCTCCTCAGATGCTTTGGAAACAGCTGGAGCAAGAAGATGCTGAGAGCTATAGTAGTGTAATGGTGAGAGACAGAAAGAGAGATTCTGGGATTTGAGAAATCTCAGATTAGGTCCCTATATGGCCACAAAATTCGCAGGCCCATATTTCTCCAGTTGACTCACAAGACTGATGTGAAAGAAGGCAGGGAAGAAGAGAACCAGGTAAACTGGTTAGAAACAGAGGGAAGGATGTAACAAATACTGTAAGCAAAATAAAACTGCCAAACAGAAACAATAGCTATCTTGCTCCTGATTTATTACAGTCACTTCATTCTTTGAAGGACATAGCAAGCAAATAACAGGAAACAGGAAAAATGGGGCAGTATAGTTAATGATACCAAGGGAGCAAACTCTTGCACGATGGCTGAAGTAAGCAAACCAGATCAAATGGGGGGGGGGCTCAGGGGAGGAGAAGTCAAGAAGAGAGGATAGAGAGTCCACTAACTAAAAAAGATCCATGGTAACTTCGTTGTTAACAATTATTCCAAACCGTCAAGAACCTTTACCCAGTGGTTTGCGCCGAAGAGACATCCGAACAATTTCACTGCCCAGCTTATTAGAAAAACGATTTACTCTTTGGTCATAAAACCAGTCACCTGTTGATTTCTTCAGTTCCCTGCGAGGGGGGTGGGTGGAGAGAGGACAATAAAGTATAATTTGTGTTAGCTCAACCACTTATTGTCAAGTCTTACCAGCCGAGGGGATACATAGGCTACAGAGACCATGCTGGCCACAACGCAGCTATGTATCAGGAAACGTGACATCCAGAGTAATGGAGCTTTTATTTAGGCAGAGTCTACATGGTCAGACATGACGGGATTTGTTCCACTTATAAAACATGGATTTTTTTAAATGAGCGCAAGATGGACATAAGCATTTGGGGTGTGATGATCAGAACCAGGGGGAGACACTCTCATATTATTTCCTCCCTTAAAAAATGACATAAATGAGATTAGCACTAGATCACCCTATCACTGGCTCATCATCACTATTATTTGCTAATCCCATTATATAAAATCTCATATACACGTGTGTGTGTGTGTGTGTGTGTGTGTGTGTCTGTGTCTGTGTCTGTGTCTGTGTCTCTGTGTGTGTGTGTGTGTGTGTGTGTGTGTCTGTGTCTGTGTCTGTGTCTGTGTCTCTGTGTGTGTGTGTGTGTGTGTGTGTGTGTAATGAGAGACTCAAGGCAGCTCACAGTGTTAAAAAAAGTGAAATTAAAAACACAATAAATTATTGATTGAACAATAATTAAATTATAATATTAAAATATATGGAATGACTAAAAACATTACAAACACAATTGAAAACACATATTGAGGGACACAGTAATGATGGTTAACAGCCTGCCTACAGAGGTGGAATGTAAATTGCATTGCATCTGGTAGGAAGAGTGAACTCAACCTGCCAGCCCCCGTGTGAGCCCTGACCGTGATTTCAGGTATAGTACAGGCTGTGAATCAAATCACAGCAAAGCCAAATCGCTCCAGTGTACCCAGGCCCTTAGTTGAGTAACCCTAGCACTAAATTTTTAGTCCTTGCTGGTTTGCCTAAAATGCGAACTTTTATCATGAAACCAAACCAGAGAGGCAGCCCCTTCCCGCAAAAGCCCAGACAGAACTGGCCGCATCTGGCCTGTAGGGCAGAAGGTTTCCCTTCCCTTCTGTAGCCCACATGAGTCTTGCATGAGCCTTGAGGACTAGAATCTTGCATGTTTTCTTTCCCATCAGTGGTTCCCAAACTTCGCTGCATGTCGTTGGCCTACAGCTCCCATTATCATCTATGATCAGAGGCCAGGCTATGGCGAGAGACCGTGAGAGATGCAGGCCAAGAACGTCAGGGAAACCAGTCTGGAAGGTAAAAAACAGGGATTACAAGCAGTAGGTTTAAAAAAAAAATCAGTTTGCACAGGTTGATTCAGAGGCAAGAAGCCGCTGCCCCAAGAGGGGCAAGAGACAGACGAGAGACGAGAGGGAGGAGAACCGGGAGCAAGGCGGGCGGGCAGGGCCAGGCCACCAGACTTACGCCTCCTTGGTGCAGACTTTTGGGCAGGGCCAGGCCAGGCCGCCAGACTTACGCCTCCTTGGTGCAGACTTTGCAGCGCCAAGCGCCACTGGGGCTATAGGCACGGCAGTCCCGGCAAACCAGGTGGTTGCAGCTGCGGCAGGTATTGGCTTTGGGGCTGACCCGTCCCAGGCTTGTCTGACAGCGGGCACACGTCCGCGGGCTGTAGCGCTGGCTGCCCCGCTTGGCTCCCTTCCGGCGGATGTCCAGCAGTTCATTCTTCAGACGCCTGTTGGGAGGAACCCCAAAGGGGGGGGGGAATCACAAAGGACCCCATCTGCGCAGGGAAGAGGGTCCAACGTTTCATGCCCACACTCCACATGCGGTCCTGATGCTGGACAGTCTGACATTCCTTTAAAGGGAATCCTTTACATGATCTGGATTCAGCCAAAATTTCTTTCACATTCTGTTTATGGCCGTGGCTACTTTAAAGCAGGAGTGGGCAGAGTGAGACCCTAGGCCATTGATGGCAAATCTTTTTGAGCCTGAGTGCCAAAACTGGGGGGAGAAACAACAACCACCCGGCGGACAGCGGAAGCGGGAATCATGGGCATGGAGGTGCCTCCAGACCCCACTCCGGATCAGCCTCCAGTCATGCCCAACCCCACCACTGCTTATAGCTCGGCCAGCCTGCTGCTGCCAACACAGGCTGTTCCGGATCATGACCCACCGCCTGTCGGGGTGCTAGCAGCCTCCTCCTCTGGTTGGCTGCCAGGGGTACCGATCCAGTGACTTATGGCTCGCGCGCCCACAGAGAGGGCTCTGAGTGCCAGCTGTGGCACGTGTGCCATAGGTTCACCATCGCTAACCTGGGCCCAAATGTGGCTCATATGCACCCTTGCTCCGTGTACTTCCCAAAATATCACTCTAAAGGTCCCATTGCAGTCAAATAAGGGGTACAGACAGCAATCTTGCCACACGTACCCTTCCTAGATGTCTCAAACTGAGGAAGATTTCTGGGGGAGAAGACTCTCTCAAACCTAAATCAACACAGGCAGGGGCCAAAACATGGTTAAATGGACACCCACTCTCCTCAGAAGACTTCACACCCCTTCCTGAGTGCATCTTTTAAGACTGAGGAAGAGTGGGGGTGGCCTTCCAAGGGCGGGGGGGGTCATGAGTAGCTCCCAGACCTCTTGAAGTTGCTCCTCTCTGCTCAAAGGCAAGAAGGAAGAACGTGCGATCCACTCCCTCTAATAAGCAAGCCACCTCTACCATGCCACCTTCATTTGACTTCCTACCTTTTGTACGTTTTCTTCCCCCCCTTTTAAAAAGGTTGACCTTCCGCTCCGAAGTCTTTGTTACTCGTAGTCAGAGCTTTACGCTAAAACATGGTGGTACCTTTTGGTCCCACCCACCACAGGAAGGCTGCTTTTAAGAACGTCTCTGAAAGAGAATCCAGGTCTCAGGCTGAAAACCAGTTCCTTTGCGTTTTCTCACCTGATTCTCCGGTCTTCCACCTTCCGCAGATCTTCATCTCGCTGCAGGACCTGGAGGATCATGTCTCTCTCTGCTTCCAGAAGGAAGGAGAGGTCAACGTCTTCCATCGGGCCTTCCTCTGGCTAGAAACCAGCTCCCCTTCCCTCAAGGTGCAGCTACCGCGTCCCCAAGCTAGAAGACAAAGGAAATAGTGGAGGAAAGAAGACCAAAAGACGACGCTGTTCAAAGAAACACAGACTATAGCATCAAATACTGTATTTGCTGGAACACTAAATTTCAACTGATAAAAAAGCTTAAGAATAAAAAAAAAGCCCAAGATCCAATTCCACACTGACAGTATTTGAATGTTTGCAAATCTGAGAAAGAACTCGGAATGCCTTAGTATAACAGCTAGATTTGAACTTAAATGTCATTCAGTTTCTTGAATATTTCTCACATACATTGCATCCAACCTACAAATTTAGTCATGTTGAGACTTGGTACGCAAAAGACGAAAAACACAGCAGGCCACGGATGGGAAATATGTGGCTACAAAGCTGTTAAACAATAATTCCCATCGTATGTCACCACCCACTGTGCTAACAAATAAATGCAAGTTGTAGCTCGAAACATCTGCTGGACAGCTCAGTGGTTGACGTATTTAGCCACAGAGCCAGGGGTTGGGAATTTGATTCCCCACTATGCCTCTTTGACAAGGGATGGATTCGATGACCTACTGGGCCCCTTCCAGCTCTGCATTTCCAAGATGATGGTGATAATGGCCTGGAGCACCATGTGTTGCCTGTCCATTGAAATCAATGGGGCATGTGGGTCATGACTCACTTAATTCTTGCTGAATTCAGTAGGCCTACTCTAGGCATGATTAGGTTTATCATTGCCCATTTTACTCCCCTATCATTAAATTACCTAATAAGTCGCTCCAATATAGAAGACTTATTTTGTTTAAGGAGAATGGCCAAGTTGGAAGTCTCATATGTTAAAATCCCTAAGTTACCTCTTATGGGTATACATCGCACAAACCATGGATATGCTCAAAAGTATGCAACACTGGCATTTCAAATTATCTAACCATCCAATGGCTTGTTGTGAAGGCAAAAGTTTAAGGTATGCTTTTAAAAAAATATTTCATATCTGATTTAGTTAAAATGCCATATGTAGTAAATTACAATAAGGAGATTTTTTTTTACTAGCGCCAATATGCTCTAGTAGGGACACCAGGGTTCAAATTCCCTCTCGGCCATGAAGCTTACTAAGTAACACTAACACAGTCATTACATCTCAGCCTAACTTATGATATAAGGTTGTTGTAAGAAGATACAAGGGGACATGCAACCAGTTGCATAGTGAGGAGGAGGAAGACCACAGTCTAAATCCAAAGTTTAGACTAGACCTATTATGTCAATGAAATTTACACATGTGTTGATTTACTACGTTTCCATTTATTCAATGCATCTACTCCCACTGGTAATTACGATTGGATTTTGCCCTGTGTATCTGCTGACTTGATCTCTCCAGAGAAAAGCTGGCATATAAATATGGTGAATATATAAAATAAATATCATTACTCTGAGCTCCCGAAAGGAAAGACATAATTAACATGATTAATGGAGCAGCAAATTATAATGTCCTAATTGTTCCCCAAACACAAAGATGATTCTGTAAAAAGTTCCAAAACATCTTACTTTTTAGGGCAGGATGTCTTGAGCATTTCAAGTAATTTCAGTATCATCTATTTATAGTTTCTGTATATTTTTGATGTATCTAAATTTCTAGGCTGTTTACATTATAAAACAGACACCTAACACAGCATAAACAAAAAGGGTTAATAAAAAAACAGTGGCCAGAATCCAAGTAAATATTTACATCTGTGTAAGTGCAATGAGATAACTTAGAACAGCAAACAGTCACCACTCAATGGATCCCAACTGAATTCCTAAACACAATCAGTGCATTACTCTTAAGCAGACATAGCTATTTTGACCGATTCTAGCTATAAGTAAGATGCTTTGAAACATTCCAACAATAAAAGTACTGAGAACTTTGCAAAACACACAGAAGGGGAAACCTCCAATAACAGCACTTAATTACTCTCGGATCAACCATGGACTTGATCCACCCGGCAAGTGCAGTTTTGCCTCACGAGGGATGTCAAGGATCCGAGGCGAGAATGCTTGTTAGGTGACTACTCATGATAGCGAGCAAACTGACAAGGCCACAGACCGGTCAGGGCAGATGGTGAAGGAACACAGCCCACAGAAATACAGGCCTTGGGCTGGACAGACCCAACTCAGGCTCAAGGGCCGAGAAGCTAAAGAATGAGGCTTAACCTGCTGAGGGAGCTCTTCTCTTCTGCCAGACTCCATTAACCTCTAGTTAACAAGTAGAGCTGCTGATGGCTACTATTTGGTAAGGTAAAGGTGCCCCTTGACAATTTGTCTGGTCAAATTTGACTCTAGGGTGCAATGCTCATCCCCGTTTCCAAGCCATAGAGCCAGCGTTTGTCTGAAGACCGTTTCCGTGGTCACGTGGCCAGTGTGACTACACACGGAACGCCGTGACCTTCCCACCGAGGTGGTACCTATTTATCTACTCGCATTTGCATGCTTTCGAACTGCAAGGTTGGCGGGAGCTGGGACAAGTGACGGGGGCTCACTCTGTCACGTGGATTCGATCTTACGACTGCTGATCTTCTGACCTTGCAGCACGCAGGCTTCTGCGGTTTAGCCCACAGCGCCACCACGTCCCTCACATGGATACTATTTGGTATCACCCCTCAAAGAGGATCACTCTAAAGTAATAACACATCAGAGGGCCTGAATGGCACTGTGGGGGAATTTCAAATAACATGCACTATCCTATGACTCCCAAACCCTTCAACTAAACAGCTTCACTGGGACTAGCTGACATTTTGGATAAGCACTAGGTCCTGCTTGGGCCCTTGGCCGTGGTCCAACCATTAAACCTCCAGTTGGAATCACACACAGGACGGATAATTTCCACTTTATGGTTGCTGTTCAATTTTGTTGCGAAACAGCTGCCAGGTTTCTAGTCCTCAAGCCTGTTGAGACAAACTTCAAAGTCATGCAGGCTCTTTTGCATTTCAGGAGTTCACAAGGCGTCACAGAAGTTCACAGATCACTGCATGGGAAATCTCGCCCCGTTGTCTACCTGCTGATGTGCACAGTGGATCAAAGACCCAGAAAGTTCTTTCTAAGGAGTAAGGACTAGACAAGGGGGCACACAACCCGTCGCACTACCAGGCACACAATTGGTAGCTGCAAATTGTGAAAAACACAGATTTGGGCCAATATTAAATCAGGAAGTTTTAAAGTTTTGTTACTTCCATGGCATGCCAAATCTGCCACCCGAGGCAGCAAGCTCATACTGCCTAACGACAGGGCCAAGCATAAAGTTGACCACGAACTCATGAACTGAATCCACATTTAAGGCGTGCAAAGCAAAACATTCATCAACTGCCAGGCCCTATCTTGCAAAGCAGCTTCCTTTCTCCTTCCGATCCAGAGCTCAAATACAAAAAGTTTATCTTCACCGGGCACACACGCACTTCCCTGCACAGCTACCTTGTAACTCTCCGGAGGAAGAACGTCTGAGAAAACATTCAACAATGACATCAGAAAGACAAACAGTTCTCAGAAAATCAGGAAGGGAATCTCAAGATCAGAGTAGAAGAACCTGGGAACGTTCATGTTTTCAGACTAAAACTCTCAAAATATCTTTTTTTAAAGTCCAGTGTCTATGGTAACTGGGGGCTAGAGTCCAAAAAAAGTAACTTTTCTCAGCTCTAGATCAGAGGACTCTCCTTTTCTTAGGATTTGTAGGCTCACTTTTTTTGAATATTGTCTATGAATGATGCAACCCACCTTGGGTTCTTTCAAGGAGAAAGGCAGGGTAAAGAACATTTTAAATAAAATAAAAATTCGAGTTCTGCCTTGTGGAGCCAATGCATGAAGACACACATCAAACACACCGGTTCCTATTCAAAGGAACATGGCAGGCTGGCTTAAAGTTAAAATGCAAAGAGTGCAGCAATTCAGATTCTACCTAAAAGCTCTCACTTTTCAAAACAAACATGTAAAACTTTGTCAGCTGCACTCATGAATTCTTGAGCACAGAAAAGCAGGACAAGTGGCACGTCCTGCTTAAATGACTCACCTGTTTTAGGTCCCAAGCAAGTAAAAATACACACACAGTCTTCTAATTCTCAAGCAGCCAGCCAGCCTTCTTTGAACGATTTATCCATCATATATTAGCTGGCAGTCTTTGCCTCAAGGAGCTGACAAAAATGGCTTGAATATAACTAAATTGCCCAAAAGCTTTCATGACCTCTGGTCAGAACCAGATCTAATCTCACAAGGTACTAGTATAAATTAAAATTGGAGAAATCTATACATTGCAAGATAAAACATAATACACTAAACCTCCAAGACGGGTCAGCAGGCCTACAATTTCTTCCTTGAGATCACCAATATTACAACAAAAGGGCTAAAATTTTCTACACATCCCTTGGGGGGATTTTTGCTAAAGAAAGCATCCTATAAATAGGTTCAGTTCATAAAAGGAACAGACCATCAATAAACACAATGCATTCTCTCCCAATTGGTTCTGGAGCCCAGTGCCAGCTCAATATTAAACCCTGGAACCATCAGATATACCTGGTGTATACACACGTGTATACACCATGTCTGTGACTTCTCAAACATAACCAAGCCCCCACTTTTTGCATTTCAGTCAACAGAGCACTATTTGCAAACCACGTCTAGGAAAAACATTGGGCTCAAGGCACAAAGTGGGGCAGCAAGAGGTGGGGAGGGGGAGGAAAACTGGAGAGTCTAAGTCTGGTAACAATCCCACCCCCTTCAGTTCCTCGGGCAAGTCTCCCCAGGGGACTCTTAAATTAGGAACCCATGCCCAGATTCCGATTTAAATCGGAGCAATATTTATTTACCTAGAGCGTGCCTCTGAACATACGCAGAGCGCCTCGATCTTTGCAAGATCGTTAGGGAACAGCAGGCCAGAGAAGGGAGGCGGACAGGAAAGGCACACGATCCTCTGCTAACAAAAGTAAAAATTAAATTAAAAAATGAGAGGTACCCTCTCCATCCGGCGGGCGTCTCGTTTGGGAAAAGATCTCCGCGTCGGTGTCGAGGCGGAAGAGAGGGAGCCGGGATCCCGCCCAGCCGACGACCGGTGGGGAAGGGAGGGCACCGAGGAGCCGGGAGCCTAAGCAAGAAACCCCCTCCCCGGTCCGGTCCCGAGGCTGGCCAGGCAAGAGCGCGCCGGAAGGCGCAGGTATACTACCTGGAGGCGGGTGGGCGGGCGCGGGGGCGGAGCCGGCCCCTTAAAGGCACGGCGCCCCGGGCCGTTTGCAGCCCGGGGAGGGGGAGGACGAGGACGAGCAAAGGGGGGGCGCAAGAGCCCCTCTCCCCATCCTGTTTCTTTAAAATGTTGAAACCCCCCCCCAATCTTTCTCCTTCAAAAGCACCCCAGGTGGCTTGCGCCTGGTTAAAGCTCACAGTAGTGTGTATACAAATATATACCAAAAAGGATCAAAGACCACACTGAAAAATCTTAAAAGTAACACCAAAAACATGTTCAAAGCGGTCAAGTACAACAATCGTGTTTAAAAACCATACTTAGTCAATCAAGGAAAGCTTGTCTGAAATCTTTCTCCTTCAAAAGCACCCCAGGTGGCTTGCGCCTGGTTAAAGCTCACAGTAGTGTGTATACAAATATATACCAAAAAGGATCAAAGACCACACTGAAAAATCTTAAAAGTAACACCAAAAACATGTTCAAAGCGGTCAAGTACAACAATCGTGTTTAAAAACCATACTTAGTCAATCAAGGAAAGCTTGTCTGAAGGGAGGGGCGTAGTGTGTATAGAAATATATACCAAAAAAGGATCAAACGAAGACCACACTGAAAATTTTTTAAAAAGTAACACCAAAAACATGTTCAAAGTGGTCAGGCACAACAATCGTGTTTAAAGACCCCACTTAGTCAATCAAGGAAAGCTTGTCTGAAGGGAGAGGTCTTTGCCTGCTTGCGGAAGGGCAGCCAAAACGGGGTCAGTCTGGCCTCCAGTGGGGGGGAGTTCCAGAGTCTGGGAGCAGCCACTGAAGAGGCCCTCTGCCCTGTCCCCAACCAGACACACCTGTGAAAGTGACAGGACTGAATGAAGGGCCTCTCCTGATGATCTACACACACACACACACACACACACAGAGACAGACAGACAGACAGACAGACAGAGTGGAGCAACACACATAAAACAAGGTTCGTGCCCATCTCTAATACACACCCTTTAACCTCTTGGTTAAACTAGTGTTGTCATGCCCACTCGGTCGAATACAGATCAGAAAGCTATGCTCTAATTTCATATTCCTCTCTTTCACTTAGGCAAGCTGAGGAAGAAAAGCTGGATTGGACGAAAACCTATACGGACACGTTGTGTGCATGTTTTCCAAAAGAAGTTCCTTTACTTTTTGAAATAAAAAAGGGAAGAGGTTGGAATTCACAAAGAATGTCACTGGACACCAAGGTCAAAATCATCCATGGGAAAGGAAAACAGTGAAAAAAGACAGGCAAAAATCAACTCCTTTAAAATATGATGTTGCGACAGATACAAAAGACAGCCAGAAAAGCAGAAAAGTGAGTGCTCAATCAAGTCAAGCCTGAACTCTCGCTCAAGTAAAAAGGAGCAACCTGAGTATATCGTACCATGCATATATAATAGAAATGTGAACATTCTAAATCAGTGGTTCCCAAACTTTTTAGACTCACGGCTCCCTCGACTTACTGGCCATGGCTCCCCAGTACAGGCGGACTGCCCTAGCTGTACAATATGGATATTAGGACGTGGTGGCGCTGCGGGCTAAACCACAGAAGCCTGTGTGCAGAAGACCAGCAGTCGTAAGATCGAATCCACGTGACAGAGGGAGCTCCTGTCGCTTTGTCCCACCTCCTCGCCAACCTAGCAGTTCGAAAGCATGCAAATGCGAGTAGATAAATAGGTACGACCTTGGTGGGGAGGTAAAACGACGTTCCCTAGTTGCGCTGGCCACGTGACAACGGAAACTGTCTTCAGACAAGCGCTGGCTCTACGGCTTGAAAACGGGATGAACACCGCCCCCTAGAGTCGGACACGACTGGACTGAAAAAATGTCAAGGGGAACCTTTACCTTTTACCTTTATGGATATAATAATAATCTTAGAAATGCAGAGATGGAAGGGGACCCTTGAAATGGGGCCAGCCCCTTTCAAGGATGCTCAGTGGGAAATCTAACTCCCAACCTCTGGCTTCACAGCCAGAGATCTAAAACATGTGGCTATCATCCAACCAAACTGAATGAGACAGAGGGCACTATCTTTCCTAGCACCTGGGAGACTGGAGCAAAGCAAAGGTGGGCTGGTCGGTTCTAAAGTGTGTGAGATTACACACGCACAGGAGAGCCACCTGCTATGCTACAGCTCCACCCCAAGAATACATACAAAGCCTCACAGAAGATAAAAGTGGGTGGGGTTGGACCAGACCACATGGCAACAGCCCCAGGCAAGCCAAACAGCCATCGTCTACGAAATCTCACAAATCTCCTCCCACATCCAATGACTGAATCTTCCTCAAGAGCTTGGCTACCCTGCAGTTTTCTAAAGTTCCCTTTGGCAGCTGTGAGGGCTTTTGCTGCTCCTCCTTGGTCCTGGCTTTGCGGTTCCGTGACGCACCTTCTGGAAAAGGGAGGCGGCTTCCAAAACAAACGAAAAGCTGGCCAAGGGTGACTCCATCTCAATTTACTCTGGGCTGTATCTTTGTGTCGTGATAACAAAATAATAAAAAAAAGGACAGGCCCTGAAATTGAACAGAGCCACTGCCCAGATGGAAGAGTCTGCAGCTCCCGTTATTATCCTGAAGGCAAATGGAGATTTGTTTAAGCCAAAAGGCAGTGGTGCAAATCTCCAACAGAACAGATAACCTTTTTAAGAAGACCACCTACCCAGAGAAATAAATCCTGACTTACTTCATCCTTGCTCAGTAGATAAGACAATGCAACAGAAAATATCACCTGCAAGATATTGACTTTTTTCCTATAAAGTGCTCAGATCAGAACTATTGTTTTGGCAAACGGGCTGGCACAAGTTGGATGGGTTATTGGTTATCCAAGGTTCTCTACGGGTCAAACCATATGTTACAGACAATGCACGGCATTCACACGGAACATGAGCAGTCAGTGATGCCACTTTAAGTTGAGTGAAGCTTCAGAAGCATTATAGAGTTTATTCACAACAGTGGTTTCAGAGCAAGTCAGCCCTTTAGACCAGTGGTCCCCCACCTTGGGCCTCCAGATGTTCTTGGACTTCAACTCCCAGAAATCCTGGCCAGTAGAGGTGGTGGTGAAGGCTTCTGGGAGTTGTAGTCCAAGAACATCTGGAGGCCCAAGGTGGGGGGACCACTGCTTTAGAGTATTAGCAAGCTGAGAAAGTGCTATCTGACAAATCAAATAGTAAAACAAAAAAGGGTTGGGAGAGAAAGAAACTAAGGCAACAAAGAATCTCTTATTTTTTAAAGATGGAGATCTAAATGTAAAACATATACTTAAAAATGTCCAAGTGCCCAGAAGTCATTCCCGCTGTTTGGTTCTGCCCAGCACCTTCAATGTATCTGGATTCCTTCCTGATCTTAATTAGCAGGCACTAAGTCTGAGATCACAAATGACCATTTTCCCTAGCAGCATCGTCAGTGTCAGCTGGACCTATTAAAGGCTCCCTGTGCTGGTCTCCCCCGCCGGTGTCAGCTGGACACGGAGCCTGACCCTATTAAAGGCTCCCTGTGCTGGTCTCCCCAATTTCCCTGCTGGCTGCCACAGACAGATGCTGCTGTTCTAGGCCTGATCCTGCAGGAGAGTCTGCTTCTGATGTGCCAAGAGGTCGGCAGTCCAGATCCAGGACTAGATGGTGGACGTGTGGAGCATACGATTTTACTTGCTCAAGATGCAGGATTTTTGTCCTCCATGGCTTCCCATCCAGCTCCTGAAGCAAAGCCCTGATCCGCATCCCTGTGGCCTCTGCCCATCTCTGCCACTCCCACCGGGTGGAAGAAGTCAAGGCTCCATCAGCAACGTCCTTGAACAGATTGGAGTCTCTCTTGACCACTTTATCCTCTTGTCCTTCAGGCATTGCTTGCTGTGTCAGTTGCTCTACAGACGGAGGCCGGGCTACACGGTGGGGCAGCGCAAGGATCTTTATTGGAAATGATTCCACGTTCTGGTGGATATGAAGGATGCCTCCAAGGTCCTTCCGCAAAACCCGACAGGCTACAGGCCAGCCTTCCTCCGAGCTGGGGATCAACCCCAGGTTCACCCTGTCGGCTGTGTCCCGCAGTTGCAGCTGCGGAGGAAGAAACAAGGCACAAAATGCAGGAAGCTGCATGAAACCAGGTTCAACAATTTACCAGCAGTCCCTAGTTTGGTGCTTTAGGATCTTGGGTCGGAGAGAGAGCCTTTTCCATAATGTTTCCGAGATCCTTTTTAACTGGAGGTGCCAGGGACTGTTCCTGTGGGCAAAGCTGGTACTCCCAACACTGACCTCCAGCTTCTCATTGTAAAAGAGGAGCAACCTGGCCTCTTTGCCCTCATTTCAAGCAACCCTCAGCCTCCTTAGCCGGTTGTGTAAAAAAGGGATAAGGTGGGGGCAGAGAGAAAAAGGAGCTGGCTTGAGTCTCCTCTCCTCTAGTTGGTCTCTGGGCTCCACCAGCGGTCATTTGGTCTCACCTTGTCGATACATGGGACCCAACAGATGCAGCCATCAAGAGAAAAGGGGTTCCCTACCTACCATTCCATAAAGAATGAGTAAGAGAAAGAAGGAAAGCAGAGATGAAACAAGACAGAAAAGAGAAAAACAAGAGAAAGAAAAGTTGCCCACCATTTAACCCCTAAGCAAAGACACTGACAGGGAGTCACCGTAAATCTCATCAATCAAAAGCGCAAGCTGACAATTAAAGGAGGGTCTTTGTTGGTAGAGCCTGCCTTTTATGTTCAGAAAGATCCAACCTCAGGCCAGGTTGTAACCAGACTTGGGAAAGAGCCCAACTGAATCCTGAACAAACCATGCCCATTCATTTGTAGAGATGAGTGTTCCAAAGATCTGGCCCAGTATAATGCACTCTTCCACGCTGAGCAGAATGCGAGGAAAGGTAATGTACTTATAGCCTAAGATTGTACACTTACTAGCATTAGATCTGGGACATGTTCTTTTTCTAGGCCACTGCTGCCGGAATCCCATAGCCAGCAGCATCACTGGTCATGCTAGCCAGAGGATTCTGGGCTCTGTACATGGAAGTAACTTACCTTTTTTGGAAACAAGTTAATAAATAAAGGAAACTTATTTCTGAGTAAGCCTGCCTAGAGCCAGATTGGCTTGCTGCATGGATTCTGCCCCTATTTGGCCTTTCTGCTTCAGAAGGAGAAGCTGGGATGGCAATTTGCCCCCCCCCTTCCACTTAACCTTTCCTTTCCATTCACCTTCTTGTTATCTCCTATGTGAACGTGGCACCGATCCTGCACACCATTCAAGTGCAGGTTCTTCTGCAGAGCTTCCACGGCATGGGGATTCCATTCACAGGCATGGACAAAGGCAGCTCCAGCATGAACCAGATAAGGTAAGGTGAAATAGCCAATCCCTGAAAAAGCAAATAATAGCAGCTAGCTGCTAGTTTCAAGTGCCACGGTAACATAACAACATCACAGAGCCCAAGAGACCATCCAGCCCAAACCCAATTCAAGGCTGTCTCTGCAATGCAACGAGAACTTCTCTGGTAGCTATCCAGCTTCATCTGAAAAGTGGGCTCTCATCCTGATGTTTCTCCATGCCTGGAAGTACTGACAACTCTTTGTGACCTCCTTTGAGAAAAGGCTTAATGGCTCAGAGCCCTGAGAGAGGGGGAGAAAAGGGAATGCAGGGAAATCCACTCTGCTGGCTAGGAAAGACAAGCACTTAGTCCAATACACTTAGAGGATACCAGCTTTGGGAATGCTGCCCCCGTTCCCATGAATTTGAAGAGGTTTGTGCTTCAAATGGGATTGTAAGAAAAAGCATGCACCTCTTTGCTACTAACAGCATCAGACAGTGGCCATCTGGTAATACTTACCAGCATAGAGATCCACCACTACTTCCCCAGTGCACTGCAGAGAGGCGATGCGAAGCTTTTCGGTGATGTTCCCTGGAGATAGCATGCACTGGGTTACATCGAAGACATACCTGTGAGGGAAACATAGATTCAGAAGACCTGAGGAAGCCAGGCATGCCCAAAGAGCAAATTCATTGTAGGTACATGAAGCCTTCTTCAGATGAGAGCATTTAAAATAAAATAAAAACTAGTGTGAGATTTAATGGACAAATGTTGCATATGATTTGAAACAATGGAATATTTTCTTTATTATGGGTCCTCTACAAAGTCCGACTCAGCATGGTCATGACCCAAGTTCTCAAAAGCCATGTTTATACAGCATAAGCTTGGGCCAGTTCTTCCAAACTGGTAAGGCTCTGAGATGGACGGCACCTCAGTCAAGAATAAGCCTGAGTTTGAAAAAACTTCCTGCCAGAGAGGTGGGTACGGAGTGATGAATGGGCTACAGCAACCATACAAGGAACAGCAGTGATGTCCACCCCTGGGGAGAATTGCCCATGCTGATGAAATAATATACAGTGGTGCCCCACATAACGAGCGCTTCGTTTAATGACGAATCCGCATAGCGATGTGTTTTTTGCGATCGTTTTTGCGATCGCATTGCGATGTTTTGGATGGTAAAACATTGCTTTGCGATGATCGGTAAGCATTTCGCTTACCGATTTTCGCATAGCGATGTTTTAAGAACAGCTGATCTGCTGTTCCAAAATGGCTGCCGGGTAAATAAAATGGCCGCCTGCATGTTTTCGCGCCCTTTCCTCGCTTACCGGGCAGCGAAAATGGTGGCCGCATGGAGGATTTTCGCAGAACGGTGAGTTTTTTGCCCATAGGAATGCATTAAATGTGTTTTAATGCATTCCTATGGGCTTCTTTGTTCCGCATAGCGATGAATCCGTATAGCGACAATTTTTTCAGAACGGATTATTGTCGCTACGCAGGGCTTCCCAAGCTATATATTACTGATCTCTATATCCCAAATTTTGACACGATTCCCATTCTAGCTAATACAACCAAAATAGAAAACGACATACGAGGTGAAAAAGAGAGGAACATTATACGCAGCACCTCCCCCTTACCGGATTCCATTGCGCAGGGCATCACTGTATTCCCAAGCTATATATTATTGATCTCTGTATCCCAATTTTTTTGTCATCGAAGCAACCAACATGAATTTGACACAACTCCGGGAGGCAGTGGAAGATAGGAGGGCCTGGCGTGCTCTGGTCCATGGGGTTACAAAGAGTTGGGCATGACTGAAGGACTAAACAGCGTATCCCAATTTTTGACCTGATTCCAATTCTAGCTAATGCAACCAAAATAGAAAATGACATACGAGATGAAAAAGAGAGGAACGTTATATGCAGCACCTCCCCCTTACCGGATTCCATTGTCCATATGTTCAACCCAGCCATCCTCCCCCAGCAAGAGAGTCACTGTAGGGGATCGAAATAAATCTGATTGCACGCGCCCATGTTTTGCTAAGCGCTGAGCCCCCAAAGCACCAGCGACCACCTTCCAGAGATTTGGCCCTGGAAAAAAAAAACACAGAGAGACAAGACTTGCAAAGTATAGTTACGACAGCGCGGCTGCCTATTCAGTCGGGTGTTGTCACCCCCAGAAGAAGGACAGGGGCCACCTTGGACAAGAGACAAAAGTATGTATGACAGATCAGATGAAGAAAGATGATGTCTGGAGTGGCCCAGCATACTGCTATGTTTCTGATTTACCCAACTCTTCCCATAACGCTGCTTTAAAGCAGTCCTCGCTCAGGAGAACAAGGTCCCCATGCCTCTCCCAGGAGTGTGGCAGGTCTCTTTCCAACTCTTCAGACCAGGCAGCTCCCTGCCTCAACAGCAGATATTGGAGTCCATCACGCAGTTTCTGGATGGGTGATCGGACCTTGCTTGCTTTTGAGGGAATGGGATTCTGCAAAGAAAATCCAACTATTAGCCAGTTACCTTTACATACACAACACAACCTATTCTGTTTTCAAACCCGGTCTAACATCATGAACAGCAGATGTTTTACAATAAAAACCTCAGCCTCTGTTGTACAGATTAGTAGCTGAAAGATGTTCAATTTCAAGCTTAAATCATAATGAAAGCAAACCGTGAAGGCCAGCCCTATCTGCTATAAAGTCAGTTAAACAAATGGACCACAAGAACTCAGCTCACCTGGATGCGGGTCAAGGCACAGGTTCTCCCAGGTGGGATCTTTTCCTTCAACTGCTGCAGGTGCTGTGCCGTGAAGTTTTCGCCCAGCACAGGCAACGCCAACAGACCATCAGTTAGCTTCTGCATGCGGTAACGTCTATCTAGGATCCTCTCATTTTGCAAATGTTTCCTACAAATCCAAGAAGCCTTTGAGAATGCCGATAAGGCTATTGCTTATACACAGAGGAATTTGTTGCTTTCGCAATGAGAGAGAAGATCCAAGAGTATTTTCAGCAAGGTGCCATTTAACTCAGCCTACTTTTATTCTCAGTGCTAGCAGAAAAAGTTGCTCCAATATATTTTTTCCAAGGAATCAATGACAATTTGTCACTTAATAGAGCAGAAAGAAAAGGGAAATCTTCAGAGAGCCATCTTTAGAATATAAACTAAATTTGCCTCTTTGCTCCTGGCAATTCTAGCCATCTTCCCATCTTCTCCAATATTTGCGTTTCCCCACTTCAAAACTGCACGGCACATGGGCCTCTTGAATTCTCAGGCCTGTGGCTTTTAGTATGTATGAAAACTGGGTTGGTTCATAACAGCATAACCCCTCACTTTCATCCATGCAGTATCTCCAGTTTATTGGTCACACAACAACAGCCTTTTATAAGAAGCCCACGCTAGACAAGTCAGGGCTGGCAGAAGAGAAGTCAAGAAGACTTCCATCCCTGCAGAGTTCAGGGAACTTGTTTTTGCACTGCAGTCAACCAGAATCCTGCAGCGGGCCTGATGCCTAGGGAATTCTAGAGGCTATAATCTAAGAAAGTGTCCCCAGCTCTGCTTCCAGCAACAAAGTGTTGCATTTCACTGTTGGCCTGGGGAAAAGGAACTATAAAGTGGTCCGTGCCTCCTCTACCTGCCTGCTGAGGTGGATACCCACAAAGCCTGGTCGTTAACATGTTGTCAATGTCTAACTCCCAGCAGGAACTAGAGACCAAATTGCTAACATGCGCTGGATTATGGAGAAAGCCAGAGAGTTCCAGAAAAACGTCTACTTCTGCTTCATTGACTACGCAAAAGCCTTTGACTGTGTGGACCACAACAAACTATGGCAAGTCCTTAAAGAAATGGGAGTGCCTGACCACTTTATGTATCTCCTGAGAAATCTATATGTGGGACAGGAAGCAACAGTTAGAACTGGATATGGAACAACTGATTGGTTCAAAATTGGGAAAGGAGTACGACAAGGCTGTATATTGTCCCCCTGCTTACTTAACTTATACTGTATGCAGAATGCGAAAGGCGGGACTGGAGAAACCCCAGGCCGGAATTAAGATTGCAGAAAGAAATATCTGGCTTATAGCACATCACCGCCACCACCTGCTAGGCAAGTGCTTGAATAACTAGAGAAGGTATACTTTTCAGACCATTTATTTTACTTTAGAACCCACCCACCCCCACATCTCTACAACTATACCTGAACAGTTGAGCAAATTGTGGCTCAGTAACAAGAGCTGCAGTGCCACAGGAGAAATCTTCAGTGTCCATCTTGAAAGAAACTGGAGGGAAGGAAAACATAAATGTTTGGGGGTCTAAAACAGAACCGAGGAGCTTCAACCTGGAATGGCCCTGCCAACCACAGGCTTCTCTTTAGAAAACTAATCTGAAAAATGAGAATATCTGAAGAATTTAACTTTTTTTTTCACTGAGCTTGTGGCTGATCACAACACAGGAACAACGGTAGCAAGACAACTTCTTACAGAGCAGTGTAATGACTTCAAATTATGTGTGAAAACTGCAGCTCCAGTGATTATTTTTTTTAAAAAAAAAAACAATTTCTGCTTTTCTGAAAAGTGCTGAATAGTTTTATAATCCTAGTTTCCAGAAATCAAGTGTACTACCATCAGTCATCACTTATTTCCGTCTTTTATTCCTTGCATCACGTGTGAACTCTGTACAGATATTTTCAAAATAGAGGCCACGGCTTTCTAAGGAAGCATGCTTGTACTGATTTGCACAATAAGGCCAGGCAAAGGCAACCTACCCACAGAGATGCCCTAGTGCACACCCACACCCGAATGCAGAGGAAGCCCCATCAGCTGAATCCCGAGTATACAGTGGTGCCTCGCTAGACAGTTACCCTGCATGACAGTTTTTTCGCTAGACATTGACCTTTTGCGATCGCTATAGCGATTCGCAAAACAGTGATCCCTATGGGGGAATTTCGCTGGACAATGTTTGGTCCCTGCTTCGCAAACCAATTTTCGCTAGACGACGATTTTGACAGCTCCCTCCGCGCTCGCAAAACAGGTGTTTTCGGGACCTAAGCTTCGCAAGATAGCTATTTAAACAGCTGATTGGTGGTTCACAAAGCGGCTTTCCTATGGCCGATCTTTGCTAGACAATGACGATTCTTCCCCATTGGAACACATTAAACAGGTTTCAGTGCATTCCAATGGGGAAATGCTTTTCGCTAGACAATGATTTCGCTAAACAGCGATTTCAGTGGAACGGATTATCATCGTCTAGCGAGGCACCACCGTATTAGGCACACAGACGGGGGAAAGCAACAGTCTTGTGGCCTCTTAAAACACCAGCAACTTCTCGTTTGCCACCCGCCCCCTCCACCTTTAGGCCAAAAAAAAAAAAAAACGTAGTCGCCTTTCGGGTGTCACAGGGCTCTTCGCCGTTTTTCCCTACCACGTTTTTTCTGCCCACCCTTCCAGGAACCGTTGCAGAGGCTTCATCATCCCACCCTCGTCCTAGGCTGCCTCCTGGCACCCCTTTTCTCCAAAGAATACTATTACTGTATTGACGGCGTCTTCAACCGCAATGCCTCCCGTACCTCCAGCCGTGCGCGCCCACCTCACCACCACCACCTCCTTCTACTTCACTCGCCGCCGCCCCTCTAGCCCTTCAGACTCGTTGGTGGGTCAGTAGAGCGGCCATCTTTGTTGAGGCAGGCCCTTCAGCCGCCATTTTGGTTTGGGGCAAAAGGGGGGTTGTCTAACCATCCGTGCGGATATTCCTGCACCCCCCAAACTTAAGTTAGCAACTCCTTTCGTCAAACATCTGAAAAACGGACACATCGTGGGATATGATAACATTTACTCCCAGAAGTATGAAATAATCCCTGTTTCTCCTAATTTATTGAAAGAACAGGTGTCTCTTCTATAGGGCTAGATCTAAATCTCCAGAGATATTATTATTTATGCTGCTGGGGGACGCGGGCCCCGTTCCAGGATGTAACGCACGCCACAGCATCTCGACTTTTAATAAAGAAAGGGATGAGGGGTGACGGCGGCCTGCGCGGCCGGTTGCCGTTGGGGGTCCTGTTTCCGAACGTGCGGGAAAGGCGGAGGGACCTGATCGGAAAGGAAGCGGGGAGGGAGGCTTTGGGGGACGGACCGGAAGGAAGCTCAAGAGGGGCGGGTTGGGAGCCGGAGGCGGAGGCGGAGAAGATGGCGGGGTTGTCGGTGCGGGACCCCGCGGTGGACCGGTCCCTGCGCTCCGTGTTTGGTGAGGGCGGCGGGAAGAGGGGGTGCCCGGAGGCGGACGCGACACCCCCCGTTTCTCGGAGGGAGCGGCGGGAAGATCCGAGGCTCTCTCGGCGGGTCCTCGCCCCTCCTTTCGGTCCCCCTGGAGACCCACCGCGCGGCTCGCCCGGGGGCTCCTTCTGGGGAGCAGAGGCTTACTCTCGAGGTGCCAGGGGGCGGGGGAAGGGGGCCGTGTCATCCACCACCCCTGGTTTTCCCTGAAGCCCTTTCAGCGTGGAGGACGTGGTGTCCCTCCACTCGACTTTTCTCCTCACAATCATCCTACGAGGTCGCTCTGGCTGCAGGGCTGGGGAGGGGGCCTGGCCCAGAGTCCCTGAGGGAGGATCTTGGGGTTGCTTCCACGCCCCGACAGTCCAAATATCCCGTCACTGGTGGCTGTAGCGCCGAGGCTCTTTTCTTCTGTGAACAATGGCATTATTTCTTTTCCCCCCAAAAAGAGGCCTTTGCTTGTGGAATTGGGATGGTGAGGGAAAGCGCTTCTGTCCAGCACGATTGCTGTGTGAACAATGGCATTATTTCCCATCCCCCAAAAGAAGTCTTTGCTTTGTGGAATTGGGATGGTGAGGGAAAGTGCTTCTGTCCAGCACGATTGCTGTGTTGCCAGTTGTGGTTGAGCATCTGGGGAGGAGGAGAGTTTGGTGAGAACTGAACAAATAGGGGATGGCCTGACTTAATGGACGGTATCCTGGTGCTAGTTTCGGTCAGGGAGCTTGTTGAGGAAAGGAAAGAGTTAAGGGGTGACCACAGTAAATCATCGCTTATATAAATTCAGCTTTCTTCACTATCCAGCTTTGACATCTGTACGCGGTCATCAGGAACAGCATAGTGGTCTTTTAATGTAGTTCTGGTCATTGCCATTTTTGCAAGGAGTTTGAACTCATCTTTCTCTTGAGGCTTCCTTTGTTTTGAATACTAAATAGCATGCTTATAAGTAGTTGGTATATGAGAAATTAAATGAATCATGGCCCTTTTGGGCACCTTGAAATAATGGGTTCAAAAAAGTATCGGTTGGTAAAGATTTCTCATTCTTTCCCCTCCCTTTTTATCTTAATATCTTTTTCTGTGCTGTCCTCTTCAGTAGTATTTCTCCATCATATCTCAAACTAGGTTCACAAGGCAATGCCAGTACCCATTAATTCAGTCAAAACAGTGGCAAGAAGGCAGTATAAATGTTGAAAAAAAACTTTTTAAAAAGTTAAATCTATGGTGGCAAGTGTGGTAGCAAAATTGCCATCAGGAAAGCCATTTCCCATTTCTAAAACCTTGATGGAATCAATGTGTCTACAAAATGCAGAGCTTTTCTCCAGTTTTTCTGCCTGGTGATGCTGATTATAAGCTTCTCTCTTTCTATTTCCCACAGTGGGGAACATCCCATATGAGGCCACAGAGGAACAATTAAAGGATATTTTCTCAGAGGTTGGACCTGTTGTCAGTTTCCGGTGAGAAACACCATTCTTAGGGTTTCCTAAATGATGGGATCTTTGCTTGAAATATTGAGAAACTGAGTGAAAGTGGCCAAAGGGTTTGAGAAAGATTCAGAGGATTCAAGATGTAGGCATAGCTAAGTAGTACAACACATGCTTTCCCCACGGAAGGTGCCCATTTCAATCCATGGCATCTCTGTTCCCTGAATAATGGGAAGAACCTCTTCTGAGCACCTGAGAGTCACAGCAGAAAATACTGGGCTAGATAGACATTCAACAGGGATAGAAGACTTTGTACCTCTAGATATTTTGGACTTCAGCTCCTGCAAATCACCCACATTTCAGCGGCAAGAAATTGTGGGAGTTGTAATCCAATTTATTTATTTAATTAGTTTCAGATCTTGAGGTTCCCACCTTTGACCTGGAGATAAAGTGATGTACAAATGTGCTTCTCTGTATATTCTTGAAGTGCAGCTTCTACAGCCCCATAGCCTTTGGGTGTGATGGCTGAAACTGTACGGGAGTGGCAGTCCAGCAGCACATGAAAGTGCCACCGTTCCCCAACACTGTAG